TTCTCTCAGTCCAATGAGTGCTGGAGCACTGTAATCTACCAGCGATCTGATGGCGGCTGTGTAGTAGGCTTTGAGCACATGAAGGTTTGCTCCTGCGGATTTGCTGGTGAGCGACCTCATTATATTGTGTCTGCTCTTCGTCCTGTGCCTGAGATACTCGAGTTGCGGCTTGAAGGTGAGTTTCTGGTCAAACCAGATTCCAAGACACTGGTGGGCGTTGGTCCAGACTACCAGCGTGTTTTGTATGGAGAGCATCTTTTCTGGTGTGTCTGTGCAGATGGCCATCGCTTTCGACTTGGCTGGATTTATCTTGAGTCCAAGTCTGTTGCACTCCTCTTCTATAAGTTGGAGTGCGTGTTGCGTGTTGGCTAGTCTGTTCGATCCTCTTACTATAAGCTGTAAGTCGTCTGCATAGCATAGGAGCTTGGCTGTTTGTCTGAAAGGAAGTTTGACTAGATTTTCCATCAGGACATTGAACAGCATTGGACTGAGGATGCCTCCTTGTGGGGTTCCGTTTTCATGGACCCTGTAGCTTGAGGTTGCTCCCTGAAAGCGTACTCGTGCTTCTCTCTGTGTGAGGTAGTTCTGGATCCACCCCAGCAACCTTCCTTTGACGCCTTTTTTAGCGAGCGTAGTTGTAATGGCCAATGGATTTGCTAGTTCGAAGGCTTTCTCCAGGTCGAGGAAGACCACCAGAGCTGGTTTGTTGTCCACTGTGCTGAGTATCTCGGCGATGTTGTTGCCTGTGCCGGTGTTCTCGGTGTAAGCAAAGATGTGAGGGTGTGGGCTGCCTACTTTCCACTTGAGTCGGTTGAGAGCCATTCTTTCTCCCGTCTTCGCTATGCAGCTGAGAAGGGAGATGGGCCTCGGTTTGTCTGGTTCTCTGGGCTTCGGAATGGGCTGTATATCTGCCTTCTTCCATTCCGGTGGGAGTCTTTGTGCTGTCCACGAAGCATTGATGGCTTGCAGCAGAGCCTCGTGTCCGGCTGTACCGGCATGAGAAAGCATGGAGTAGGTTATCCTGTCGGCCCCTGGAGCTGTGTCCTTGCTTCGTTTTAGCGACTTCTGGAGTTCTTGCTGGTTGAATGGTCTGTCAGTGTCATCTTCACTGTTGCAGGCCTCTTCGATCATCTGGAGTCTGACCTGTCGCAGACGCCGTTGTGTCTCCTCCGCCTGTCTCGGGAGGTTTTTCGTTGCTGCTCGGTCAGAGAACAGTTTTGCAAGTCTCTCGGCTTCCTCTTCTGGGTTGGGATGAGTTGGTGGTGGTGGTGTTGCCTTCCCAGATGCCCTTCGGATCTGGGCCCACATCTTGCCAAGGGAGGTGTGCTCGTTCAGTTCGGAGCACCACTTGAGCCAGCTTACGTTTTTAATTTCTTCCTTCTCTTCCCTGGTATCCTTAACTATGACTTGCAGGAGATGTCTGTTTGTTGCCGTGGGATGTCTCCTGTAGTTTCTTCGGGCCATGTTCACTCTGTGGTTGAGTTCTTTCACCCTGGGACAGTAGTACCAGTAATCATTGTACTGTCTTGATGTGGGTTTTGTTTTTGGGATAGCCTCTTCTGCCGCTAGGTGAAACGCCTCGACCAATTGGTGGTGGAGGGTTGTCTCATCCGCGGGTGCTGCGCCGGCCGGCTGTGATTTTTCGCGCCACTTAGCCAGGTGTTTCTTGAAGAGTCCCCAGTCTGCCTTTTGAGTGTTGTATCTCCATCTCGGGGGGGGTGGAGTGGGGAGTTTGTTCACCTTCAGCGTTGTTAGGGTGGCGAAGTGGTCACTGGTCAGCGTGGGGTGTATCTGCCAGGAGGCCGAAGGCTGTAGTGCACTGGAGACGAAGGTTAGATCTAGCCTTCCTCCCCTAGTGTGGGTGGGCTCTCCGGTGTTCAGGAGGCAGATCTCGGGTGTATCTTGAAAGGTGGTGTATAGGTGTAGGCCGTCTTCATTTGTGGGGCTTGCCGAGCTTAGGAAGGGATGATGTGCGTTGAAATCCCCTCCTATGAGTGTGGCGTGGTCAGCGGCCGAAGCAAATAATTGAGTAACCTCCAGTGAGCCCCTTGGGTTCTTGTAGATGTTGTGAACAGTTAATTCCCGTTCTTGGAGGGTTACTTTGACGGCCTGTGTCTCGATGTTTTCCCCACATGGAAATTGCTGCGTGACATCGGCGGAGGGTATGCTTGACTTGACCAAGATCATACATCCTCTTGTTGACGCCTGCGTGAAATGCCTCCTGTATGTTTTGTAACCGCTGAATTTGAAACAGTGGTGTTCTTGTAGAAGTGTTTCTTGTAGCAGTATGATGTCAAGCTTGTCCTTGGCTGCTGCTTCTTGTAGGAGGTGTTTCTTGTTTTTGATGCCCTGAGCATTCCATGTTAGGATGTTCAGGGTGCTGATGTTTTCCACCACTGTTTCATCGGGGACTTCTGGTGGTCCTCGATGGAGATGTCCAAGTTCGATTCCAACTGGATCAGGTTCATATCTTCGTGTTCTGTGGTTTTTGCCTTCTGGGCCGTGGTTCGGTTCAGGGGAGTTGAAACGTCCAGTTTCTTTCTGGGAGCTGTCGGTATCTTGGGTTCTCTGGTGGCCTTCTTCGGTGTAGAGTGTACCTCGGCTGTCACTCGTGTGAGGACCGGCGTGGCTTCCTCCACTGAGGTGGCTGGAGCTGTGGCGACTTGCCCGAGGACGCTCCCCATGAGTATTTGGAGCTGTGTGGGTTGGATCTTGTGGCCCAGTAGTCCGGCTAGGCCCTCCGCGAAGGTTGTCAGTACCTTGGCTAGGTCTGATACGTGTATCATTCCTTCTGGTGCCTTGGTGTGTGCTTCTTTTGTCTTTCTCGTGGTTGTCGTTGTCTGCTGCTTGGGTGGCTGAGGTGTGGCTGTAGTGAGGCCAGGAAACTGGGCTGCACTTTGGGTGTTGACTGGCTGAGGAGGTTGTCTTTGTTGTTTTGGCCTTTGGGTTCCCCACACGAAGGTACTTGGTGGGGCTGGTGTGTAGGCGGTGGGGGCCGGTCTTGCTGCTGGTCGGTTTGCCTGGACCCTCTTTGTTCTCTCGGAGCATCCAGGATTCCAGGCGTGGTGTTTGCCCCCGCAGTTGGCACACTTGGGGGCAATTTTTTCTCCATTTTTCAGCTTGGTGAGGCAGGAGTGTGTGCCGTGCTTCTGTGCGCAGACTGCGCAGATTTCCTTGTACGTGCACCTTGTCTGATGGTGCCCGTATTTCTGGCATCTGAAGCACCGCAGGGGCTCTGGGACGAAGGGCCTCACTTCGTAGATCCCCCAGGTTTTGAGGTCTATGGTGCTGGGGGGTGAGCCGTAGTGCGTTATGAGCACTTGTTTCGTGGTGGCCGTCTTGTCGGACAGGGGAGAGCATCTCTCGGCTTTTAAGATCTTCGGGTGGTTCTCCAGGGGTTCGAGAGGTAGTTCCTTTGGGTACCGGAGGACTACCGACTTCATCAGTTTCTGGGCGGGGTCTAGCTTGGTTGAAGTAACGGTGGTGGTGTTTTGCAGGTAAGTGTCGAGGGCGGTGGCGGAGTTCTTGTCTTTGGGGTGAATGATCATCTCCCCCTTTAGGTTGGGCCGCACTGAGAACTTGGCCAGTGGATTTAGCTTTTCCATCTCTGTGACGGCGGCATATGTTGTTTTTGCGTCCGTTTTCGTGATCCGGAATTTTGGCAGTGTCGTTGGAGGTGAGCTGGTGGTGGTGATGGGTGCCTTGGGGGCTGCTTGACGGCAATCGTTTCCCGAAAAGGCACGTCGGCGTTTCTTGTTTTCTACCTTCGTCCAGTTGTCCTCAGTGGCGGTAGCAGTGGTGGTGGAGTTGTTGGAGGTGGTGGTATTGTTCCTACTTTTCAGGGCTTCATTTAAGGCGCGTAACTGGTCCGCTTTCTCTGTGCGGAGCCTGTCGTAGTTCGGGTCGTCAGGTTGGCGGTTCAGGCGGGGATCGCGGTTAGGAGGGCGTACGCGCTCCATAACCGGGTTTTTTTTTTTTAGATCCTACCTATTCCGGTTGAGTAAATAGCAGAGGAATTACAGCACTCCCCACTGGCTGGTGGTCGTAGAGTGGTTCCTGAGCTTCTCCCCCGGAGCCCCGATTGGGGAAGCCTACTTCCTAGTGTATGTGACTGCTCACTTATAGACGTGAGCTAAGTGTGCCTATTTGGGAAGGATAAGGATTGCTACCCTCTTTCCAGGTGGACCCGCACGATCACGGTTTTCCTGGAAAGACTCGGCTGGGGAGGGTTTTGCTCCGAACCCCTTTCGTGTTCACAATCTCCTGGGAGGGAGGTGAACAGTTACAGGGGGGACCGCAGGACGAATACACTTTTGAGGGTGCAGGTCCCTAGGCCAGAGCGAAAAAGGAAAAATAGTAGTAGAAGGAAAAGGGCTCAAACCACGCCGGGAATATCGCGCTATAACTGCTCTCCAGCTGGAGTGTGGTCACTCACACCACCAGTGGGGAGGGCAAGCTAATGCTCGATAAACCGAGAACGCTCGTGAGTTGTTGTGGGCGATGACAGTCGTGGGTGGTCCGGTCCGGGAAGATGGCCAACAATGGCACAAGGGAGAGGGCGGTCTTCACAGTTCCGGGTCCAGCAGGAGGTCTTGTTGAGAGGTCTTCTTGGTTCAGGAGCGATGTGAGAAGTGGCCTCCCTGATTGGCTGGTCGGAGTGCGGCCGGAGCTCAGTTGGAAGTTGTAGGGGAGAGTAGCCACTACACTGGCCTTAAAAAAAAGAACTAAACCCAACACAATTTAAACAAATTTACTACTTGTGTATGTCATATTAAATTCCATATTATCTAAGTTTTATGTTTTCGTTATGGAAATACACAGAAAAGGTAAAAAGTAAAAAGATATAAATAAAATAAATTCAAATATGAACTCTAGTTTACACTTGATTTAAATATATATATATTTTAATTTATATACAGATAAAAATGTAAATAAGAGACTTTAAATCACATAATATATGTTTAATGGCCCCGGAGGAGTGTGAGAAGGAACCATCGCCTCTGAAGGGTTGTTTACAGTGTGGCGCCTGAGAGAGAGTGTGTGTCTCCCATCTATCGGTGTTAAGGCCTCACTCTGAGTCCATTCTTACCTGGAAGCAGAATATATAGTGTTTTTTAATACCCTGTGTAGGACGTATGCCAATAATTGTGTGGTTCTCATGGAATATCCGGCAGAATCACCACCTTGTTGCAGGGAGTTGATGGCCTCGGAAACTGGAAGGAATTCAAAAACCTAACACAGGATCCTTGAGACATTTGTTTATTGTATGTAACTTTGTTGAGTGTTTAAGACGATAATATGCCAGGGGTGAAGAGAGTCCGTGATAACGACAGGGACGACCACGAGAGTGAGAATGATGAGGGAGACCAAGACTCGGACAGTGACCGGAGTTCTCTGGACGAGTCGATATCTTCTGATGGCTCTGAGTCTGACGATTCTTCAGGTGGGGTTAAAATCTTGTTAGTGGTGTGATAAAAGCTTATTTATCCTCAGTAACCTATTTTTAGTTAGTACTGTAGTTATTTGTCTGGTCATGGATCTTTACTTCTGCTGATTTTATATTACTGAATAATTTGGTCACTTGCAAACGTGTAACTAATCCCAGTCTATCCTAAGTTTGCCAGTGACTGAGTTAAGTATATGATATAGGTTATCAATGTCATCAACAACCAAGCACAACTGCCGTGGTCCAACGCATTACCCAAAAGTACCCAAAAGTATATTAAATCAGGGTAAAATTAGGTTAGGTTAGGTTAGGTTAGCGAAGTGCATCACAATGGATCTGAGTTATCTCCCTTGTTCACCAACTCTTTGGAATTTAGCGTTCGCCAATACTGAAAGTTTTTCCCTGTTTATAATTTCATCTTACAAATTATTTTTACAAAATTACACTAAAAATATTATTAAACATGTTTTGTGTATGTATAACAGATATTTGTTAAGATTTTACCCTTATTTGCTATACTTTTGGGTACTTTTGGGTAATTCGTGGCTCCCCAACTGCCGGACAGATAACTGAAGTAAGGTTATTAATGTATTCCACAAACACCAGCAAATGGTGTAGGCATGACAAACAACATATTTTAATGCAGTTTTCATGCTGAATACAGTAGTGATAACGAAAGTTGGGGGAAATACAAAATGCATAGTTATTGAGTTATAACCATTCCTACCCTGTCAATGCTTCGAAATAGAGAGAAATGTGGAATTAAAAACACAATTAAAACAACCTAACCTAATGTAAACTGTATTATGCAATTATTGGTAGGTGTTGTAGGCTTGTAAGCTGTGTTTGGAATATTAACTGAAGCAAGTAGAGGTTTGTGGACAGACAAAAAACTGCTTTGTATTTGTTAATAGTAATTCTTGGATATTTTGCATTCCTGAACTACAGAATTTAGGGCATTTTACAATAGAAGATAAAAGTTTCCTTCTTGTGTTAAGGCCAAGAAATGGAAAAGGAATATTTTCACTTACCCCCAGTAATGTAATTAAAAAAAATAACAAATCTATGGCCACTACATCTGATGCCACCATGGCACACACTCTATGGCTGTGAAGTGTCAATGGTTCCTTTCATACAGGAAATGTTTTTGGAATGACTATTTCCACCATATGGTGAATATAGACCGAGATGCTATTTTCATAGTACAGTTCAGTACAGTGCAGGTAATACTTTAGCCTTGTTTTCCTGTGCACCGAAACTAGACATTTTAGAGACTTGTATAGAAAGATTTTCCCTTGACATGACAACAGCAGGAATTTTAATTTACCTGTTTAAGTGGATGGCTGTTGCTACTTTTAATAGATTTAATTGTTTTCATTATTCTGCACAGTGCCGTAGCTATAACTTTTTGAGACATACTGTTACACATAATATATGCGCTGCAATATGAAATAAAAAATAGCCACCGAAGTTTTTCTGAGAAACTCAAATGGCGGCTGTCAAACTGTGATGTGATGCCATCCATGTACTGTATTCAGGTGGTTAGGGCTCATTTATTCATTCATATTTATGTTTTCAGAGTTGGATGAGGAGGAGTGTGACAGGAGACGAGGGGAATATCTCACTGATCTCTCAGACTTAGAGCGGCAGTTTTCTTTACTCCGAGAGCAGTAAGTTGACCTAGGTGTAATACTGTATAGACCAATTGGGTAGAAAATAAATATTGACTTACTGTAACTACTGGGATCCCAAGTCTTTTTATAGTCATTCATGTGTAAATTTTATACAGTATCTTGTCTTCATTACTCATATTTATATATTATTGTTGTTATTTTTGTTACTTCTTTTGTTTTTTTTATTTTATTTTGTCCACCATCATCTGTCTGTTATTCCAACCTGCTCTTGTGTTGAGATGTAAACGTTGGTGGTGGTGGTGGTCATGTGTGGGTCTTTGTGCCTGTCTGTGCTTGTCTGACAGTGTGAGTGCGATACTCTACCTCAGATAAATAAAAATGAATTTTATAAAGGCCTGGCACTAGAAATCTGCGATGATTTCAAGGATTTTTTTTTCCCCCCTTCTAGTGTTATGGCATCTTGGATTTTGTTGTAGTGGAAAGGATGGTCAACTTTAGGCACAAAACACTACATTATTTTTTCATTTCCTAGTGAGAGGAGAAGTACATGAAATGGTTTGGCTGACACCATACTGAAGCAAACCCTGACTTTTAACCTTCCAGAAGAAAAATGAATAAAAAGATAGGAAGACATAACCTATATTAGAAACACTGCTGATCATAACAATATTAGAAGGTCAGGTACCTGTATGTAACTACAGGGAGAAGGAGTTCCAAGGTACAGTATAAGGGACGAGGATGTCTGTATGTTTGGTGATTTAGTTGTGCTTGTAACCTAACCTAACCTAACCATAGGCTCTCTGACTAATTTTCTTTCTTGCTGCTGTCTTTTTCATGCTAAATTAATACTCCTCTGGCTCTTTAGCTCACTACAGTACAACCCTTCTGGTGCTGTACAGTCAATATAGTGTTATGGTTTTTATAAAATTAAAATTGATTTTGCCTAAATGTGTATCAGTAATACTATACCAGTACATGCATAAATTTAATTCCAGCTGCTTGTATTGTTCTTCATGCATATCTCATTGTTTATCTAATAGTATTTCAATGTACAGTTTTATATCCCACTCACCCTTTCTGCTCCACATCCTTACCATATTACATACCCTGCCCGACTCCACATCACCACAGCCACCCTGCCCGACCCCACATCACCTGCCACCCTGCCCAGCCATCCCATCACCACAGCCACCCTGCCCCCACCCCACATCACCACAGCCATCCTGCCCACCCACATCACCACCCACCCTGCCCCACCCCACATCACCACAGCCCTGCCCCACCCACATCACCACAGCCACTCTGCCCCACCCCACATCACCACAGCCACCCTGCCCCCACCCCACATCCCTACCACATTACCCCTCTCGCCTTTCCCCAATAAACCTCAGCTGTGCAATCATTTCTCTCGGACATTCACCAAACTTCTCTTCTCTTCTTTTGTCATACCTTAAGATGTTACTGTAAGTTGTAACCCCAGAAGAGTACTTAGAACCTTCCTGTATATTCAATTGAATGTCTGGTATTTGGTATCATAAAGGACAGGAATATCAGTTGCTCCTTGTGATATTTTTTGTGTGGGAAGACGACAGTTACTGCCTCGCCTCCTGAACATGTTGATGACTGTATTTAAGGTGGCAGGGTGTTTGTTCTCATTGTACTGGTGTGGGTGTTTGTGTACTGGTGATGGATGATTGTTTGTGTACTGGTGATGGATGATTACTCTACATACTGTACACTGTTGGAGGATGATTGCTGTACATACTGTATACTGTTGGAGGATGATTGCTGTAAATATACTAATGAGCTTGATCAGTCATTGGAGAACTTGTCAAGATACCCTAAAAGAAAAATACTTCACTTTATCTTGACAGTGTGGTGCCAGGCTGACACTGTTTTTTCTTTTATTGCTTTAATTTTCTTCACAGTTTTTTGTGTGTCTGCAGACTGTACCGGGAGAGAGTAACTCAGGTTGAAGCCAAGTTAGATGAGGTGCGTGTGGGGGAAGCCACGGAGTACCTCATGCCACTGGAGGAGCTTCAGGAGGCCATGCGCGTTAGGTTGGAGGTGGCGTGTATTCTCCGACAGCTGCGACTCCAGAATATCACCAATAAACACGAAGCGGAAGTTCTCGCCTCCAAGCAAAACTTTGAGGTTAGTGATGCTAAGTGGTCAGTAATTTCTTGTTCCCAGTGACTCCCATATTGCTTTTCTCTCTCTTCGGCAGAGCATGCAGTATGGTACGGTTATGGGGGTGATAAAAGTTCGGGTCGATATTACGGTTCTATATTTTTTTCAAAGTTTGGTACAGTATGAAAGTACGATTAATTTTTCGTACCTTTATAGTACCATTTTGAACCAAGCCACTCCCTTGAAATGTTGGCTGGCCACATGGCCAGGACAATAGCTTGGGGAGGTGCAGGTGTGCTCCAGCTTTCAGGTCAGGCCAGGTGAAACTGTGAGGTCAGGTCAGGTCAGATCCACCCACACTCGGTGAGACTCACAAAATTACATTGCCCCAGGGGGGATGCTCCTGCCAGCTGACACACACACACTAGTGTCGAACAAACCTTTTCCGGCTTGCGACATATATTGCAAAAACGTCGCCTGGGACTCTAGGCAGACATTATTGATGCTATAATGATATTGCATTGTAACACATAATATTTAGTTTTTGTGGTTTAGGGACAGAAAATTAAGTAAAATGTGTAATTTAGTGTTAATATGTTAGAATATAAAATATTATTATGTTAAGAATAAAATACTAAAGTTGATAATATAATGATTCTTGTTTTGTTACACCTTAAATTGGGCTACATTTTGTTTGGGGGGTACGGAATGGGGTACAAAATTACGGTACGATATTTTATCGTACTAGTACGGTACGAAGTTATATTTGGCGTATGGTACGAAATTGCGGTACGGTATTTTTCCTTTGGTACGAATTACGATAAATCAATTGTACCGTACCGAACTGCATGCTCTGCTCTTCAGTCACTTTATTTTCTGTTCTACATCCATTTTTATTCAGTGATTTTGATTAACATAGGATAATTTGTATTAACAGAATGAGAAAGTGATGCTGTGGGATACAATTGAAAGTGAACTGGAGGATAAAATACGCCGCCTCGAGGAAGACCGTAACAACGTGGACGTGACCAGTCAGGTGTGGGCGGAACAAAATCTACACAGAAAGAGACGAAGACACAGACAGGTAAATACAGTACAGGGCGATCTTGGTTCTGTCTCGGCTTGTGTTCTTCAGTTTGTGCTCTTTGGGGGAATGTTTTGTGGTTAAGTCGACTCTTGATCTGCTGCGGTGTTTCCTCCTGTAACTTTGCTTCATAAAACTTCTCATCATATTATCAGATCATTGTATGCTGTTTGATGGTATTTGAACACAAGAGACTGTCAAGGCAGTATTAAAGTTATCTCATAAAATTTCATTCCACTTGTAAGTCACAGTTCCCCTTCTGTAAAAAGTGGCTCCATACCATCTGGTAATCAGGGCTCACCCAAACTAATGTGGAATATTGGCCATAAGAGAATGATGATGATGAACTTGTTGACCTTGAGCCAATAAATGGTGTTAGTGTTGCTTTTATTGTGTAATGCTAATAAGTTTTTCTAGTAATATTGTAATTTAATTAAGGAATATATCTTATTTACAGTGCTTATGATGATGGGCAACATTGAAATAAATTTTCTAATAATGTTAAAAAGTATTGACAAGAATGCTGTAAAATACATAGTAATTTTTCTCCCATTTTTTATTACAATTAATAGACAGAAGATAACCAATTAATTTTCCTCATGACCTCTTATCAGCTAAGCTCTTTAACAAGTGTTCATGGTAGAGTCCATATAATTGCAGAGTATAATTATTTGTGTAGGGATTTGGTGTTTGTGTGGTGGGATGTTTAGTTTTAAAGGTACAGATTCCTTACCTGTTGCCATCATTCTAATAGGGAATTATTTCGGTGATGAGGTACACTATGAGAGTGGATGCTTATTTTCACTTTCTCTCTCCAGGGCTCAAACAGTTCCACAGATCGTAAGAGGAAAAAACCTACCACCGTCGCCGGTCCGTATATTGTATATATGTTAAGGGAGCCAGATATCGTTGACGACTGGACGACAATCAAGAAGGCCCTCACTGCATCTAAACGTAAAAGCAAATGTGAGTTTTTGTTGTGGGTGTCATCTTGATCTTTTGGTTTCTACTCTTGTCTTGCACTACTCAACCTCTTATATCCTTATTTTCTTTGAGAATTCTGTACCCCTGAATCCATCTCTCACAAATATGAAAGAGGTATAAAGAAAAAAGGTCAAGATGAATGGTTCAGAGTTGTCAGTTGATCTCATGAGAAACATTAAGAGTGAACCAGGACTCATTTCATACCTAACTTTCTTTGCTGACCTGGGAGAAGGACTTAGGGTTGCATGTTTTCCATCTTTCTGGGAATTGTGACCATGATAAGTCAAAGATGTATTGATGGAATGTAATAAAAATTTATAGTTATACCACAACAAGATCTCAGATGATATTTATAATCAGTATTTAATTTAATTTTTGTCCAGAGTTGTGGTACCACAGGCTTCTCTTGTCATACTCCACTGGCATATTTATCAACCTTAACACAGTAACTCATTTACTGTTTCAAACCATCTTTGGGCTGTCATTCAGTGTACCCTCTGCATGTCCATACTACAGTAGTATCTCATTATGTAAATACAGGCAATCCTCACTAAACACACTTCTGCTTTACATATTTAAGCACTTACAAAATTTAAAAATTAGTGAACACATTTTGCTGATATGTAGTTTTACCTGTCAAGCAAATTTCAAAAGTCACACTGAAGCTATTTTAGAGTCACTACTACAACCTCTGCCACTTCACCAGATGGGGTTCACTCTTATTTTATCAACCCAGGGCATCAGGTTAGGGACCCACCCTTTGTATCAAGTTAATTCTGTTTTGGTAAATGTTACACCTGTGTTTTGTTATTTGAACAAAATGCTTAATGTTGTATTTAGTGTGTTCGCTTTGTTTGCATAAGGTGTCTGAAAATCAGCCCCAGAACCACAGCCTTCATTTATATCCATATCCTTGGGAAAACCATTTTCACTACAAATTTTTGCATTATGCACCATATCCACAGAACTCATCCCGCTCATATAGTGAGGACTGCCTGTGTCTTCCTAGCCATCTACAGTATATAATTTTTTACTCTTATTGCATCATTGTGTGTATTGAATTAAGGGATACAGAACTCTTAATGAAGGAGGGATATGATAAGTGGAATTGGTGTAAGACAAGTGTAGACAGGAACAAGAAGGGGTATCATGTGTGTTGTGCTGGCTCTCTCCTCTTACCTCCATAATGGACGAGTTGACTTTTGGAATTTTTTTGTAAGATGGCAGGTCAATGGGTAAAGAAAACTCTTAAATTCACTATATTAATGATATTTTTAAATAAATTGGGCGAGAAAGTGTAAAAAAATAAGGGTTAAAGTTAATAAAAAGTCACGTGACTGCGAAAAGCTCTGTGGTTGATTAGGGCGAGCTTCCCGGCGGGAGTCAGCCAGCTGTAGTTGTCCAACCTTCTTGGCTGATCAGCTCTATTCGATAAGTAATTGTGCTTCACTGTGCAACACCGTACTACTATTTTGAATATATAAATATTACTAAGCATTTAAACTAATTCAATAGATATTAGCTGCCCATACAAAAAATTTCCTAGTATAAACATCAAACAATATTGGTATTATTTTGGTTTTGGTCATCTGGTAACCTTAAGATTCTAACTATGGGATTAAGTACTTTAAACAATAAGGCACATTATCTCTACAGAATTTCTGTCGCAAAACATTTTTCGATTGCTTAAGAAAATACAGATCATATGTTAGGTTAGGGTATGATGAGTTATAAGGTTAGTTTAACATACATCGGTAAGGGGGGGGTAGTAACTCAAAACTAGTGATTTCCGGTAGAAATGAAGGTCTACATCGTTCATAACACATTGCAAACCATCAGAAAAAAAAACAAGTCTGCATGTCTAAGTACAGGGATGACCAAAACTTAAAATTTACCCAATATATCCTATCTCGAATCTAAACATCAAAATACTTATGGTAGTTAAAGCAAAATTTTACCCATTAATTACCGTAATATAAATGATGACATATGCCAGTGGTTCATAAGTGAAGCATCAAAACAATAACAGCACTAAGATTGGAGGAAACTGCAGCGGGCCTATTGGCCCATACTGGGCAGTCCCATTTACACCCAACCCCAATCACTCGTATATCCATCCAACCTATGTTTGAAGCTGCTTTTCACGACACATTTCTTCACTTACGAAATGTCCATGACTTAGACCATAAAAACACACCCTAAAAACTAACCTGAACGTGGCATTTGGGGTTTGAAGAGGCCACCCTATCTACTACCTACGACTGCAGCGATGAGCTTGAAACTGGTGACATCATTGCAAATGGCGGCCCTGTTTCTAGAGAAATAAACTTATCTCGACTATTATAGCAGGACTTTAAACTTTTATGACAAATTATATACAGTATAGTCTGCATTTACGCGGTCAATTGAACCCGTGGAGGACCGCTTAAAACGAAAAATGCGTAAATGAAATAACAGAACATATGGGATTAATTGAAATAGAGACTGGGCCGACCCCCAAACTCCACTTTTTCCCGACACAATACGTACGTTGTAGTAAAAATAGTATCTTAATTTTATGATGGTATTCACACACACATAATATAGAAGAGATACATCAATAAGAGAATAATATACTGTACCAGGTAAAAGAAAATCAAGGTTTAACACTTACCTTAGTAGAAGAGATGGGTCGGCATACGAGGATGGGGGCTGGTTCTGAGGCAGAGGGCAGATTAGTGGCCCTCAGGTGAATCACCATCACTATTCACCATAGTTGTCAGGGCCTCCCTGACAAACCCCTCAAAGTCACCATCACTGTCACTATCACTGGCTTGGCCTGGCTGTGGTGGGTTGCGGGCGAAGAAATCAGTGATGCTACGCTGACGGCTAGTGTTGATGTGGTCGTGATACATCTGGATGTACTGCTCCATACTTTGGTCTAGAAGGTTATTGAAGACTTCATACTGGTGATTGACATGGTCTTTTGAAAGGGTGAGCTTTAGTTTCTCGGCAAACTCTATGGCATCCTTTACATCACCATGAGTTAACTTCTGTTCTCTTGCTGCCGCACCACCTGCCTCCTCACTGACGTCATCGTCTTCCAACATCTCGTCGGCAGTCACCTCAGGATCCCTGATTACCTCCATGATGTCGTCGTTGGTGGTCTCGGAGAAGCCTGCAGCTGTAACACTTTGCAGCTTCTCTTGCAAGGTCCACTGCCACTGCAACAGACTGAACCTCACCAGCCACAGTTTGCCTCTGCCTCCCACCTGGGATACCTTGCAACACATGCCGCCACGCGTGACTAATCGTTGCCACAGACAGCTGCCCCCATGCTTCCACCAAAAAATCAACAGCTTTCTTTACGTTAAACATTTTCCAAAACTGTTTAACTCGCACTTCATGCTCCGCCAACTCTTGTTCTGGATCCTCGTTGTCGTCACTCTCGCTATCTGTGCCACTCAGAAGGTTACGCAACTCATCCTTGGTGTTGGTGTAATTGTTCAGGAGCTTAAACTTCTTTGCGGAGAATGCAGCCTTAACGTTGCATATCAACTCCTGGTCCATGGGCTGGATTAACGACGTAGTGTTGGGAGGAAGGAAGAGCACTTTTACACTAGGGTGACGATCCAACAGTAGGGGCGAGTGTCCTGGTGCATTGTCAAGCAGCAACAAAATGTTGACTGGCACATTATTTTGCGCGCAGAATTTCTTCACGTCGGGAACGAAACAGTCGTCAAACCAGGAGAGGGACAGACCAGTGAACATCCACGCCTTACGTGAGGTTAGCTAGTGGACTTTTAGCTTGGTCATGTCCATGTTCTTGTAGGCGTGCGGCTTGCGGGCTGTGTGGATCACCGACAACTTGAGCTTACAGGTACCAGAGGCATTGGTGGTAAACAGGACGGTGATGTGCTCCTTCTGCAATTTCCGGCCCCGACACTTGCTGGCAGACTTGATAATGAAGGTCTTGGAAGGTAATTTTTTCCAAAACAGACCGGATTCATCCATATTGAACACCTGGTCGTCGGTGTACTGTCCTTCCTCCATAACTTCTCGTAAGAATGGAGGAAAATCCATGGTGGCAGCACGGGTAGCACTGGCTCCTTCATCAACAATGTTAATGTTGGTAATCTTGTTCCTTATCTTAAACCCTTGCAGCCACCCAGAGGAAGCAGTGAAGGGTTTGGGCTCTGCAATTCCCGTCTTGCGCGCCACTGATGAGTACAGTTCACGAGCGTAGTCCTGCCCTGCCCACGTGTCCACAGCCATGTTACGTCTTGCCTGACGAATTAAGTAGCTCGCCAGTAAATTCTCAGTCTTGAGCAGCACCTTATTCTGACAATACTTCACCATTGAAGCACCTGCAGATTTTGTGATGCTCATGTGTTCTTTAATCTTGGCGGCATCCTTCTTGATCTTCCGGATCATAGATTCGTTCACGCCATGCTGTCGCACCAAATCAACTTGTTTCGTTCCTTTCTCCAAATCTTGCACGATCTTGTACTTTACTTCGTAACTTAGGGCACGTCGTATCTTCTTGGGCTTGGGGCGGCTTGGTCTAGGTAAATCAAGGTTTTTCTGGGGTGGTGGGGGTCCAGCGGAAGCCATTTTTGAACAGATTAGTGGGGACAAGAGAGAACAGTATATGCGGTGACTGAGAACAATGAGACTGACGCGGCTAGGTCAGTAGCTTCCCTCCCGTGCCAGGCCACGTCATATAACATTAGATCAATCACAGCTAGCGGCGGAGGGAGGTAAGGATAAGTGGCCCAATCACAGTCCGATACGTCATATGACGTCAGCGATAACGCAACAGCGACATACTGCACATCCATATCTGCGCCGCTTCCCGCGTATGGTTGAGAATGGACCTCGTGAATAAAAAATGGCGCGGTGTGTCTGAACCTCCAGCCGCTCTCCGCGTAAATTACCAAATTTACCACGTAATTAAGCATTTTCATTCTGGCAAGGCACCGCGTAAATGACCGAACGCGTAAATCCAGACTATACTGTATACCGTATCACTCTACAAAAGTGGCAGAGTGTATTTCTTGTGTTTGCCCAGACCTGTCAACTCGTCCTTTGTCATGTACTGTACCCCCCCTTTTCCCTCATTCTTTATGGAACAGTTCTTGAAATTATGGCCAAAATTTGTATTCTGGGTGTTAGAAAAATTATTCACATTACATAGGTATACTTGTAGAAGAATTTAATAAGGTAGAATATGCACAGATCTTGATGGATTTTATAACTGTAGATGAGATGAAAATAAAGCATGTGAAGGATGAAGAGCAGTGAGATGATAGAATCAAACCACTAGTTGCTCTTTACAAAACTTACATTGAGAGTGAGATGGGCTTAAGGCTAAAAAGTGCAAGAACAAAAAATATGAGAATAAAAGTGGGAGAGAGGCAGAGGAAGCAGAGACGACTGAGTATATCCAAGAACTGGAGGAGGCAGATGAGTGTTCTAGAGAAGGAATATAATGAAGTTTGTTTATGGGGAAAAAATAAAAGGGGAGATGCATGATTGAATGAGGAAAAAAAATTGGTAGAGAATTTACTTCATAACTGAATGTTCACCAGTTCATTGCCTGTCTGGAGTGTAGGATTGGGTTGTCCTTTTGCACACACTAGTCTTCATATAGTCATCATCAACTAAGGCCACTCAGGTGCTCTTACTTATGGTGAAACAATCTAACATCCTGCCAAGGGAGTGAGGGGTAAATAATTCAAGAGATCAGCATCTGTCTGGACAACTCCATCATAACAGGGACCAGCTTGTGTGAATGCAATTAAAAGTTTCATGGTGGCTTTGTCTGTTGATGAAGAATACAGTATATGTACAGTTGCTAAAACAACTATCTGTGCAGGTGGGGGTCGATATGCTCCGAAATTTTACGTGTGATTAGTGACAACCCTCGTATACCTAAATTTATCGTCCACGGTCTCATATTGTTTCCCACAGAGTATGCACAGATAGTTGTTTTAGCTACTGTACATGCTGTTTATTGCCATCTGGTAAAGGAATGGAAATTTTCTTGTCTCGTATATTTTCTAGTTATTAGTTTTGGACCCCCATCACACACACACACACACACACACACACACACACAAATTAAGTGAAAATGTTATATTGTTGACTGTACTTGTGTATTTTTTTCTCAGTTGGAAAAATCACATCTCCACGCCATTATACAGAAGCCTTCTCCCTCTAAGGTAAGTTGTTGTTACCTATTGCTAAGTTTACATCAGATATGACCTGGAAGGTAATGCCTTAAGGTTGCGCCATACAGGGTATTTATTTTTTAGTCTCAATTCTTCTTTCACTTTAAATCTAGATGATACCTCATTAGTCCTACATGTGAGTACTGTACCCAGAGTTATTTGAACATGGGGGCAAAATAATAAGAGTTTAGGAGATGATAGGAAATGTATTGGACAGAGGTAAAAAGGTTGAGTAACAGGACAAGGGCAGTTGTCAACAGCAACTTGTGAGAGTGTGAGGGAAATGTAGGTGTCCTGCAGGCTTTTCATTTGCCACTTTTCAAGGGTACTTTATGAGGTGAGGGGTACTAGAAGCCTTGGGCAGGTTGTGAGGAAAGTGGGGGTACTTGCAGCCCTGAGCTTGTTGGGCTAAAAGGTTTTTGAAAGAAACAAGTGAAATCAAGTTAAATTAACTAAGTGGGATGTGTTGCAATAAATGGACAAAAATATTTTATCATCATCAGTTTAATTAATGTGGTAGAAACCCATCCATTGTGATAATAATAAAATGTATATACCGCAGTCGGGTTTCTAGTAGGGTCACTATCTAAGGCACTGTCAGGTTTCTAGAAGGGTCACTATCTAAGGCACTGTCAGGTTTCTAGAAGTGTCACTATCTAAGGCACTGTCAGGTTTCTAGAAGGGTCACTATCTAAGGCACTGTCAGGTTTCTAGAAGGGTTACTATCTAAGGCACTCAGGTTTCTAGAAGGGTCACTATCTAAGGCACTGTCAGGTTTCTAGAAGGGTTACTATCTAAGGCACTGTCAGGTTTCTAGAAGGGTCACTAGCTAAGGCACTGTCAGGTTTCTAGAAGGGTCACTATCTAAGGCACTCAGGTTTCTGGAAAATCACTTACCTTATATATTCTTAGAAGCAGCAAAAGAACAGTGAGAGAGCATGAACTATATTAATTATTACCTTTGATGTGTGATAATTGACTCTTGACAATCTTAACCTTTTCTATTGTAATGTTGCATTGAAAGTTTAATATTATTGTGATTATTAAATTTGTTTTTTTCTATATTTCAGGTCAGGTTATTGCAGAAATCTAAGTTTGTATATGACTTTCCTTGTAGAGTTGTTTTGTTTGTTTTGGTGTCCGGTAATCGTATACTGACGTCACTAAACATTGGCACTGATGGTATGATGTGGCACCGAGCATGCTGTCATACCCTGAAATAAATTTTATCCGAGTCGAACATCTTAGGGGGGTTGGACTCACGAAGGTTTGTAAGTTGAATGTATCTTGTAATCAGAAATGTCGGAATGTGTCAAACTGGTTTACTTTACCTAAAACACAAAAATAAAACATAAGACTCATATTGCAGTTGTACCATAATCAGATCCATTCACTTAACACCCAATGAAGGTACAGAATTAACATAGATTAAAGAGAAGATCCTGCTTGTTGATTTTGTCCTTTTTCTTATGTAAATACAATACTGTATAGGGTATCTTATGTAAGGTACAGTTGTATTATGATGTGGGTTTTGTATTATTTTTAGGGGCTTCATCTTAAAGTCAACCAGTTACTGTAGTGCACCTGTACATGTTTTGTTATGCGGAATATTTCCCCTTTACTGACTTGAGTGAATCTAACCCCTGAGTACTGTAATATTATCAGGTGTATGGCACAGTAACTAATTTGTACAGTAGTTTTGTAAGTCCTTATGTAGATGTTATAGATTGGTATTGTTCTTTGAGTTTTTGAAGAATATGGCTGAGCGAATCCAAGTTGATGTAGGTGATGCAAATGTACACTTACGTAGACTGTTATACAGAGATATAAAATATTAAGTTCACAACATTAATTTTTTGCTTGTGGAACATGTCAGAGCATCTAGGTGTAATTTGACTATAAAAATTATAAAGAAATGTAGTAAAATTAAGTTCCTAAAAGTTTTCCTTTTATAAGTGCAGTCATATTATTTTGGTGTGGCCATGTCTGTTAAATAGATTACTGCCTTAACCTTAAATCTACTACAAATCTATATTTAGTTAGTTTTTTATAGAAATAAAATGTTCAAAATATTATAAACCTAAACTTATGTGAATTTTTCTATTAAAAATAATTTTTTCA